TTCACACTGAAAAATTTACAGAATCATCTCCTGTTGAAGAAACTGCAACTTTTTCAAGAAGAAACACGATAATTGAAATGTAATCCGATAAATTTTTAGTGTTCTATAAAACTCTCGATTGCTGCTGCTTAATGTTTTCGAAGTTGGAATTCTTTGAATTCGAATATGCATTGGTCTTGTTTGATAAGGTTCTGTATTTTGACACAATTTGAACCTTATCTTTCATTGCAACAACACGTGACTTCGGCTCCTACACGGAGATAACATATTACAGTTGTTGACTCCAAAAAATGGACTCAACAGATACCGGGCCCACCCTTGCCACATCAAGCAATGATTCGACACGTTTCTACCGGAACAAGAGCGGTAGTATGGTTGGATGGAACGCGGGAGGTGCTTTTCGACAAGAGACACAATTGTTCAAGCTCCACTTGTTTGATGTAAACGGCCATTGCGCTATCAACAAGAGCTCAATCGATTACCCTAAAATGAATATCTGTTTTGTAGGGGAATATGTGGAAGGATAGATAAAAGAGAATGTTTTGTAATGTATTATGATCTCAATATAGGTTGTATTGCCCAAGATCAAGCAAAGCAAAGTGCGTAATATGTTATTTTGTGATTCTCGGTCCCCTATTCTATAAAAAGAGGGGTTTATTTATACTAATTTAGCTGACGTGGTGACCGTCGGATCAAATTTATGTGGCGACATCCCCTAGACTGAAGCCCCACATCAATGTCCAATCTTTACAATTATTGTTTTGCAGAAGATCCGCCGTTCTAATTTGTAGACTGACTCACTAACACACATTAATGCTACGGGCACTTTATGGCAGATGTCACGTCAATCAGTTCTGAGAGATCTTCGAATCTATTGTGAGGAAACATCCGCGATAAGCTTCATCACTTCGGTCTTAAGGAGCCTCTGCATTCGCATGAAGGAGTTTCGGACTTAGGAGCCTCTGCCTTTGAACAAAGGAGCTTCAGTCTCAAGGAGCCTATGCTTTCACATGAAGGAGCTTTGGACTTAGAAGCCTCTACTTTCACATGAAGGAGCTTCGGACTCAAGGAGCCTCTACTTTCACATGAAGTAGCTTCGGACTTATGAGCCTTTTGTTGACCTTGCCTGTGTTGGCTCCCCCATTGACTTTTCAACTGACTTTCTGTCCAATTGGCTAAAGGGAATACGTAACTGTCCACGCGGACTGCTGACTTGGAGCTTCTAATTCTGGGGGGTAACAACAGTAAATTTGATAATTTCTAAAATAATTTATGCAATTCCTAGAGTTTTAAGATTTTCCAGTACTTAAAAATCAGCTAAATTTGCTTGCAGTGAACCATTTGACTATGAAATATCACTCCTTCACATCTCTAGGCCCAGCATTGCCCGTGGGAGGCCTGGGTCGGCCCGTCACTGTAGTGGGCTTTGCTTGGTCCTGCCCTTTATTTTTATTATTTCCTCAATCTAATTGCAGTTTTCCACGCGCAATCATATTATCTCAAGCATGCAATGCTTGTTTTATTATTGCTTACTTTTGCTCCCCACTTGCAGGTTCAATAAACTTCTGCATTGCAGTTGAAGCCCCCTATAATTTGCTAAAATTAAGAAAAAGTAACAAATCTTACATGCAGTGGCGGACCCAGGACCCGACCAGAGTGGACGGCCTCGCATGCTGGGCTCCGGCAGAAGAGTTTTGGGAAAAGATGGCCACTGTCGGCGCCTGGTTTGGTTCTGCCTTTTCTCCTCTGGTTCATCTTCTTCTTCCTCCTTTTTTTATTTTTTTTATTTTTTGGGTTGGGCTATTTGTTTTTCAGCCCAATACTTAATTATATATAGGTCTAGTCCATGAGCTCAATCCTTTCTCCCCAATTGAAATTAAAATTTTTGGAAACAAAAAATCATTTCCTTTTTCAACTTGAAAGCTCAACGCGATTTGAAGTTCCTCTGTTCCTGCAAAGTTCCGCCACACTATTCGGCCGTCTTCTCCGATTCGTCCATCTACCAGTGAATCCTCACCACCACCGTCCATTGACCTCCAGAGTGAACGGCTGCAGCTTCGCCACTATTTACGACCGCTACACCGTGAGTTTTAGAGGTGTCAATCCGGGTGGTCCGAGTCGGGTCGGCCCGCCAACATATGAGCCCGGTAACGGTCCGCATGAAAAAAAGCCCGCCCGCTACGGGTTCCGGGCCTTTTCCGGGTCGGTCCACAAATTTTGGATTACAACCCAGGCCTGCCCGCTGACC